TCAGATCCACTCGCAATATATCATCGATTTTTCTCTTCCGAAGGCAATCTACTATTGATTCCTATATAACACATCCGATCGGATAAAGAGATTCAATGAATATTTAGATTTGCATTTTAAATTTAAATCAATTTGTATTTGTATTCAATCGTTGAATATATTAGACATAGATTTATTAGGATATAAATTTACTTACATGTAATGGACAGTTGAGCGTTTGAGCTAATGTTTTGGCATAGATGTCCGTATCCCTGGCTATAGCCCACGGACTGAGCGCCGAACCGCTCATTAGTATCACTCGCGCGAAAAGCCCTGAAATAGAAATGTTTGTAATTATTTTTGTTGATAAAATTGGGATAAATATTTTGGGCCGTAATATATCACACAAATCGCATAGAAATGTTATTTTATTTGTTATTCAAATGAGAAGTTTAACGCCATTTCACACATAAACGAGACTACCGTTTATCAAGTGTTTGCATAGATTTATGAATGGCTTTAGTTTTATTTAAAAGCATTTATTTGTGAAAATATTAAAATTGATTTATTGTTTGGCAGACAAAAGCCATGAGCGAAAAAGTCAAGTGACGGATATTATTATGTCTACAGATTTCTGTATATTTTGGACTAAAATAATACATACAATGTCTGCCGGCTTTGAATATAATGTGAATAGAAATTATGTAAAACCCATTTAAACCAAGAATATTTGTATGCATCTGTGTCATTAATAATTTATTTATGCAAATATATTTGTTTTTTAATTTTGGTAAAAAGATGATTGATTTGCTTAATAATTGATTTAATGCTTTGATTTCGAGTTTTTAGAAAAGGAAGAGTAAATATTTAAATCAAATTAATTCAATTTGTTGTCAAATATAACATACCATACATATAAATACGTATAACCATTTATATATATATAAATAGTACAAATTGAGATTAAAATTAAATATTCTATCAAATGTATTAATTTTTAAGTAATGTTTTATAATTTATTTTATATAATTTCAAAATTAGATAACAGTCTTAATGGAAATAAATGCTTTGATTTAAAGCTAAATAATCCGGCAATTATGAGCTTAAAATAAATTTATACTTAAAATTAATCCAATTGCGAACATACAAAAAACACAAAAAATAGTCTAGACTAGTAATAATTAAATGAAGCATGGTACATACCTTTAGCCATGGGTGATATCATGAGCAGGTGGGCACAGGCGGCTCCATACCCATAGCCAATGATAGTGACATTATCTGATTGGCCGCCAAACTCAGCGATATTCTCTTGGATCCAGTGAAGAGCCGCCACCTGATCCATGAGACCGTAATTGCCGCGAACCACACCGTCCACCAAAACCGGTAGAAAACCTAAGATTACATAGAAATACAATTTACTTTTACATGTCTTATCCAAAGTATTTCTATATAATAAGTTAGTAGAGGTTAACACTCGAGAGCTTGTATACTATTTCTCACACTTTTGTTTAAGAAAAAATAAATTTTCCTATTTATAAAACATGTAAATTAGTGTTTGTAATAAATTAAAATGTTAATTCCGCGCTTTATATTTAATCAGGTGTATTTTAAATGAATTTTTTCACTTCAATAATAATATTACTACAATA